ATAGAGGGCCTTAAAATGTCTCTAGGTGCCTATGTTTGGGCAACTGAGTCTTGTCTTTGGTGTCCCTGTCTCTCATTTGTTCACATGTTGAACGGGGACAATAATGCTTCTCTGTCTATCAAAATGATATGCTGGTAGGGTAGGGTGCACTGTCTTTTCTGTGCATTTGTTCAGCATCTACAACAGTGAAGTCTATGGATAATTACCTTTACACAGATATTTTTTACTGATTCTGCAAAGTTAATACAAGCATTCCTAAGAGATGCACAGAATTTTAGAATGAATCTGTTATTTTATTTATAATGCAGAATACAACCTCAGATACACTGGTTTGCGAGCAAAAGAGCAGACTCCTACATGGGGAGAAACAAAGATAACTTTAAAATTAAAAACCAGAAACCAATGAAGTAATTATGTTGGATGAGGAGAGAGCAGCATGTTGATTTGTAGTTATATTTCCTCACTCACGAAGTCTTCCATTTTGTGACTTTTTTTTTCAGCCTCCAAGGAAGTTTGGACTGATTTGGAATTTAAAACAGTGTCAAGGCAAGACTTTGTGTCTGTCTATACATGAAGACCAGTTCTCGTTGACCAAACTCTCCATGTTAAATGGTCAACCTTTCCAGGTTAACTACTCTCTTGTAGTTAAATGCTGTGGGCTAGCCTTGCAGTGTGGAAGGCTGCCTTCTAATGTGTAGGAAATATTCCCGCTTGTACCATGTGCTAATAATTTAAAGTAACAAGCATCCAGACATTAACTTTATGCTTGGAGATGCTAAATTTGAGTGATGTTGCCCATTCAGTTGACAAGTTATACATGTTAGAAATGATGAGGTAAGGAGAACATAAACTTGGAATGCCACCCTACAGTTGGAAAATAAATAGAAGCAGTAAAAATGCAGATTAATGCGTATGAATTTATTTTCTCTTGATTTTTGAAGAAATAGGAACTTCAGTCACCTCTATGGCTGGACGGAAGGTGGGTTGAACAATCTTAAAAGGAGGTGTAACATTCATCTGCTTAAAATAGTTGGTCACTGTGACTTTTGCAGTGGTCTTAAAGAGATTATTTTCATTAGATTCCTGAAAAGGTCTATAAATTAATCCATTTAAAAGTACCAGTATTTTAATTACTGCAGCGTAATTACTTAATGCCACTCTGGGTCAGTTTGGTAGAGAACATTACTTCAGAAGCCCTTAAGCGGTTGCAAAAACATTTCAAATGAATCCTCCTTAAATCAATCAGTGTTGTTAAGGCTCTTGTATGTTTTAAGTGAATTAAGTTTATTTTATGACTAGTTTAAGCATTTACCTTACTGTATAAATTTATCTTGCTGGATAAATACTTAATCTTTGTCTTAAAGTTCTCCTCCTGTCTCAGGCTTGTGGTCCAACCAGTCTGGTATTTTTTCTCCAATATTCATTGTGTCACACAAGGATGTCAAATGGTTTGAAGTAATCAGTTCTAATACAAGTTGCAGAGATTTCTTCCCAGCCCACATGAGTTAGTGGTGTGTTGATACCTGAGGCTAAAGGGGTTATATCTTTTGCTGAAAGTTTCAGGTGACATCCTGAGCTGCATAAAACCAACAGCAAAATCCCCATTGATTTTTATTACCCTGGGATTAAGTGAACGCATTTAGAAAAAAAAAAAAAACACGCTTTATCTTAGTCCCTCTGGATGTTCCAGTTATCTTTGTTAAGTATTTCATCTTTTAGGCATCTATTATAACATCGAGCAGGAAGAGAACAAACTTCTGTTACATCCAGTGACTAGGAGTTCCATGCGTTAACTCTGATTTCATTAGGAAAAATATTTTTATCCACTTTTAAGCAACTTTCTTCTAGATTTCATTGATTTCCCTGTTGTTCTAGAGAAATGAAAGAGTGAAAACATCCTTTTCCTTTTTTCTGTGTCCTCTCCATTATCTTGTAGAGCTTATGTCTTCCTTGTTTATTCTATGGAGTTAGCAATTTCCGTTTCTTTAATCTATGTATGGATGTTTCCATTCTTCTTACTTCTTTCAGACTGTCTTCTCTTTCCTCTGCCTTGAATGTGTCATGATGAAAACGGACATGGTATTCAACATGGGGATATCTTCCCGACGTAGCACAGGTTTATTTTCCATGCCATTAGTTGTGCTTAGTGTTGGACTTTATGTGCTGTCCATGATAAAAGTCATGTATGTTGCATGAGTGTCAGGGGTAAAGTCTTGCTCAAATATGCACACCAAAAGAGAGGACATCAGAAATTTTAGGTGTGGTCTTTGTCTTCTTTACAGAGAGGCATAGAACTGAGCTTGACTCCTTCTGTTGTCATTTTACATTAGCCTGGAACTGCTAATGTAATGCAAGCATAAAATAATATGAAAATGATGTCCATACATTCTTTTATTATTTTTCTTTACTAAAATTTCTTATCCTCTAATTAGCTGAAAGGATTGTGATCATTTGATAGAAAGCACTCCTTTAATATCATAAAACCAAAACAATAGAAAATATTATATAGGTATTTCATAATATCATCTAATATCTTTCTAACCCAGAATGTGAAGTAATCCAAAGACATTTCTTTTTGATGAATAACGGAAGTTCAAAAGCTTTTTCTTAATTTATAAGACACATTGCACAGAAATCTTCCTTGTGCTGCTTCAGTTATCTTTTATCTTGATTATGGCTGACATTTTTAGGGTACAAGACACTGTAGTTAGGAAGATAATTTTAAATTCTCTATGAGGTGCTGCAGTTTGGCTCTGAATTATATGGGAGACAGTTTGAAGTTAGAGCACTATATTATTTTTCCATTGCAGCTACCGGATACCTCATGCAGCCTGATAAGTGCAATGAGGCTTTGAAAGGCAAAACAGTGAAGACAGAAAACATTGCAGTGCTGTACAAGGCGAAGGGCAGGAACAGATTGTCAATCCACCTTCTTTATTTTTCCTGTAAATTCATTTAAAATTTAATACAGTACAAAATACTGCAAAACATTCATTTGCTGGGAGAATTTGGGCAAGGGAAGGGCTGCATCGCTTAAATAGCTCCACTTGGTCGTGTGCCTGTCAAAGAAGAGCCCCCAACCAAGCACCTCCAGCACATTTAGCTCTTGAACACAGAGATTTGGATTTGTTTGGGCCCAAAGTATCTTATTCTGCTTAGTCTTCCTGATTTTTATGTGCATTTAAGCTTCAACAACCCTCCCATATGCAGACTAGCTAACACATAAAATTCTTTCCTTGGTATGCTTCATCTGGCTCCTCTGCTTACTAAAAATCAAGGTAGGGAAGAGAATGTAGTATCTTCCACAACATATTTTTTACTTTTGAAAAATATTAATTGGATACAGCTTTTCTTAGTTTAAAAGAAATAAAGGCAAGCTATAGTTTCAGTCACACCTTTTACCTTTAGGCAAACTCGCTATAACTGCTGCCAAAATTAAATTAGGATCTATACTTTCTTCTGGAATCTTTCCAGCTCATGTTTAGGTGAAACACATACCATAATAGGATGCAAAAGAGAAGCTGAAAGCAAATGTTTTTCCCAATTCTGTCTTTTTATGAATGTAACATGAGAAATTGCATTCTAGTATTGTGGTAAAGACGCCTAACATTTATTCCAATATCTTGAAGTGTATAAAAACCCATCTGTAAATGTCTACTAAATTACATTAACAGATTGTCTTTTAGTCTAAATGGCTTTCTGATACCCTGTTCTGTATATCTTTGCAGTCTGAATGGAATTTTAAAATATTTTAAAAACAAAAGCGCTAATTTGAGCAGGATGCGGTTCACTTTGGGGTGAGGACGGGACAGGATCTGTGTAATCAGTGACAGCAAAACACAGAACAAAGCGTTTAACCAGATGATAAAGACTGATGCCACGAAGCAATATTTTTTTAAATGGCTGGCTAAAGTTTTGCTTGCTGATCAGCACTTAAACACCTAAATAAACAGCCTGATTCCCAAAAGCATTCTCATAGCAGTAGATTTAATGACTTGCATGAAATGAGCTTTAAAAAAAAAAAAAAAAGAAGCTTATTTAGGAGTCTTATGTTAGACTCCTTTCCTGACAATCTTGAATTGAAATTTTTATGGTTGATAAAAATTTTATATTTCTAAATTCTTCTCCAAGATGGAATTGCTTTCCCACAGACGACACCAGCTGTGTGAGCAGGCGTTTGCAGAGGCAGGCTTAGGTACCCAATGGCGATCCTTGGTGTGGGCCTGCCCTTGCCCTCCCAAGGGGCTGCGAGGTCCCATGACATTTTGATCATGTAATCTTTCAGCAACCTGAATCCACTAAATTTTTGCAACAGGAGGAGAGATGTTTCTAAAGATGGACTGGGGGTTTTGGCAGCTGCATCCCTGCTGGCAGGGAGGTGACACCCCATGGGTGCTTTTGTCCTTTCCACCCTGGTTTCTGTAGGAAGGTGACCTGAGGACAGGGGCAGGGTGAGAGGTCTAACACATCCTTGGGTCCTTGGAGCAAGTGACCCGGCTCCCCAACCGAAACACTAACCTCCTCATGCTTTGTTGGACAACGTGCTGCAGTCACATAGACTGATCCCTTGTTTTAAGAAAGAAGGAGCAGCTGGAAACAAGCAAGAAACCATTTCCAGTAGCCAGTTCATTCACCACATAGCATCAACATCAGCTCTGCAAACTGCTACTGTGTCCTGGACCACTTTTTCAAAATCCTGAGTGATGACATTCTTCATTTCGTACCCTCTAACTGCAGTGTTCAATTTCTGAAATGAAGACACAATTGAGAAAAATAAAGCTTGTATCAAAGAGCCAAGGCTTCAGTTTGTTGTAAATTAGCATCTTTCTATCAGCTGATGGCATTTGAAGCAAGCTGTGGAAGTCCTTTTTTGACAAAAGATGCTATAAAAATGTGATACATGATTTTGTACTGCCAATTATTGCAAAAGCAAAATGCAACATTTTATAATGGAGCCACTGCTTAATACTGTTCTCTCTTTCTTTTTCCCTTCAAATCAGATATTTATCTTTGAGAATAACATCTATTACTGTGCCCATGTGGGGAAACAAGCCATCCGAGTGGTCTCCACAGGAAAGGAAGGTGTTATTTTCAATGGGCTCAGCGACTGGCTGTATGAAGGTAGGACACAACATTTAGGGCAGCGGTTAGTTATGAGTTTAAGTTACACTCTAGATTTACAGAACTGACTGGAATTAGATGTTCAGCATTGCATTTCTGGGGACTGGTGGACCACAGAGCTGAAAATCTGCTATTCTAACACTTGTCTGAAGTGCTGAACTGGAAATAATGTGAAATGATGTAAGAATTCTGTTTTCAGACTGTTTTTCTTTCCCTTAGTCCAAAGGTAATAAATCACCAAGCTTTAATGAACAGAACTGCTTCATTATTTAATGGCACCTGCAATCACTCATAGACGTGCCAGTTTTCACATCACAGAAAAGGACAGAAATGGGGAGGGAAAGGGGTTTTATTTTAAAGGAAGAAGCAAGAAAGCAATTTTACTTGATTAGTTGTTTTCCACAGCACTAGGTGGGCCCTGGAAGCTGCCCAGATCTTGCTACCTAAAAATTGTCTAAAAGTAGATGGGTCCTGACAGTAATTGGTTTCTTTCCTGTGAAAATGGGCCTGGTGTGGTACAGAGTCATTGCTGAAGCATTGCTTTACTTTGGTCCTTTAGGTGTCTGTAAGCAGCTGCTTGCAAAATAATCTTACCTGCTCACTAGTTTAGGAGAGGATCCCAGCCATCCCCAGTTCTTTCAGGGAATGTTTTAGGCTTGTAAGCTGATACTTTACCAAAATTAAAATTAAAATATATATAGCACATATATAAAAAACATACACACAATGTGCATGCCTCTCTCTATTGCTGGCTAATGCTGCCTGCAGTTCCTTTTCACAAGGATCCTGGGTTTGGGACCTGGCAGTGTTTCTTTCCTGTGCCACAGTTTCCCTCTAAAGTCACACTTTCTCCTGCAGGTCCCAGCACAATCCCACGCTTTTCTTACCTCTACAGAAAGAAGTGTCCAGATACATGTATTAACTGTGCCCTGTTGGCTGCTCCTGCTTTCCTTGAGGCTTAATGGAACAGAATAGGTTGTAAAATGCCATTCACCGTTAATTGGTGTAAAAATATGAATCAGTCCTTAAATTACTCTGTATCACAGCTGAAGTGGGGCTGTTGGACTCAAAAATGAGAGATTTAAAATAAATTATTTTGTTTGACACTTCCAGAGAAGGTGGTCACCAAAATCAGTGTACAAACTCATCGAACACATCAGTGGAGAAATCTGATAGTGGTTTAGATTACTTTTGATATTTAAATGTGTGTTTATGTTGTACCACAGAATATTTGCAAGTGAATTTCCTCCTTGTGAAGCACTTTGTAATCAGAGGAGTGGCTGAGAAGTTACAAAATGCTAATTTTCTTTATTTATTGATTTGTTGCTGAAGTTGTAGGCAGACCTGTTTGACACTGTAGCTCAAATGTGCATATTAGCACCCGTATTTTGCTGAAAAACATCATTTAGTACGTAAGGTCTGCTCATAGAGTCTTGAGCACAGCACCACGCTGAGAGGAGTTTGTCAAGCCAGTGAACTCCAAGCACGCCGGCAAGCCCATGATGACACTTGTTTTGCTGACGTATATTTTTATTCAATTACTGGATTGCTCAGGCAAGTTCTTGGCTGACATTGACTTTCAGGTTTGTCCTTTATAATGAACTTTCTTGTTAACTTTATGTTAATGTACTGGGTTAAGAAATTAATCTATGATCAAATACAGTCTAGATATACGAAGCCAGGTTCTGTAACTTCTCGGAGCAGCATGGACAGAGTAGGACCACTGAACCTGCTCTTCACTGAGAGTATGTTTTGCAGAAATCTGGATATGTCATCCCTTTGGAAATGTTACTTTGTGTCCAAGTATGGCTTATATTGAAATAGAAACTTCTCTTACTTCACAAGCAAGGTGTAGGAGGACCGAAAGGAAAATCTGAGATATAAACATTCCCAAGTGATGGGGTGCAAATCCAAAATTAAATCCAGAGCTGAACCTTGTGAGCTGAGCCCCTTCTCTTGCGCTACATCCCTTGTGCAGTCCTCATGGAGGTAAACCTGGAACTGGAGCCAGGGCTGAGGATTCATGGCAGCTGCGTGAACAAGCTGTGAGGCCATGAGATCAGATGGATTTGCAGTGTTCAGGTGTCAGCTGTCTGCATGCATGGATGGATGGAATGGGATCAAAGAAGAAATTGGGTATTGCATGGTGGTAAATAGGTAAGGACCACTGGAAGATGGATGACACCTCCCCACCAGAGTCCATGGGAATTCAGGCATCTGTCAGTGAGGCTGAAGTTTTACCCTAGCAGCAGCTGGGATGCTTTGCCAACACACTGTTACCAGTGCCTTTATTTTTCCAAGTTCTCTCCTTTTCTTGGGTGCCTCCCCTTCAGTGGGATAAACTGGAACAACCTTTTAGGTCTAAACTTACCTGACTAGAATTGCTTGAAATCTGGGCAAAGATTGAAATTTACCACCTCAGGGCTATTATTCCTCTTCCACTACTCCCACTGACGTTTGCAGACATATCTTTCCCACCTCCCTAACAGAGCTGGGTGGGATGCTCAGACCCATGTTTGTTTGCACTGTCACCATCTCAGCAAGCTACCAGGATGGATGCTGAGCATATGTAGAAATCTCATTCCATCTGTGCAGCCATCATCAGCAGATAGTCTGCAAAGGAGCTGTGAGAAATGCTGAAACGGGATCATAGAGAGTTCAACGCACTCCTCTTCACTCCCATGCTCTTTTTGTGGCTGAAGTTCACCACCTCCAGCAGCAGCAGCCGAGCCTCCCCGCAGCACCCACGGGGTTACTGTGACAGCTCACGACCTGCCTCTCACTTTCCCTAAAGGCAGCACAAAAAAAAAAAAATAAAATATTCTTGATGTCTTCTATTTGAGGAAGGCAATTTTTAAGGTCTTTTATCATCATCGGCAAGAGCATATCAACTAAAATCCCCCCACCCTTTCCGAGAGCTGTTTGTGCAGTGCACTATGCAGATGACAGTCCCAGCAGTGCCACCGTTTGGGGTAACTCCTGACTCTTGATATGAATGATAGACCCAGAGGGAACACTTTTCTTCATAACGTGATTGCTTTTGTCACGACAGAATAGATGCACTGTACTATTAATCACAGGTTTTTACTAAGTCCAGAAGCAGAGCAGATCTAGAGTAGATTTGACAGGCTTTTTGCCCTGGAAAAATGCAGAAGTTCATTTCAATTCAAGTTAAGCTCTGCTTTTGTAAATCTGCCAAAGGGGAAAAAATTTCTTCGAGGTATTTATGCTGATCTGTAGACTTTTGATAATATAGTGAAAAACATTTCATATCAATCAGAGCTTAATCTACTTAGTGCATTTAGCTGGAAGGTTATAGATTTCTACATAGATTACTGTAACATGAAAGCATAGATTAAACATGATTTTATTACTAAAATAAGCATTGACAGTATTTTCATAGTCTGACTTAACATTTTCAGAGCTGTGCCTGATAGATGCTTATACTAAAATGGAGTGATATCCTATAAAAGAGAGTTTAAAGTTCTCTGCTGAAAGCAGCTAAGCATTTATAAATACTTAGCACCAGCAAAGAGTGTTTTATATTTGTTTGCTGTATGATTGTTGTTAGTTTGAGAATATATTTTAGCAACAATGAGGCTTAAAGATAATTTTAAAACAGGTGGTGGTATAGCACAAAGTACTTTCAAAGTAGTAGGAGAAGCATGTGTATATGTTCTTTAAATATATATGGTACTTTAATAAAAGTAATGTACGTTTTAAAAAGTAAAGTTCAGGTAAAATTAATTTCATTTAAGCACTTTGTTACAGCACTCTTCAACAGAAATTAATTCTATCATGGTGTAATTAAAGTATCTTCATTTGCTACCAGGCATTTGGAGAAACTGTTCAGATGTTGTGAGAAAGGGTGGCAGCGAGGGGCTCTGCCAGAGGTCATCTGTGTGATCCTGCTAAGTGACAAAGAGAAGGTTGTGGTGTCTCTGTGTTTCAGTTTGGACCTCACTGAGTTTGGCATTGTGTGATACTGAATCCTGGGGAATGGGGCAGGAGGACCTCCCTCCATACTGGCACGCTGCTGCCAGACCATTCCCGGCCACAGCAGGGTAATTCAAGGTCCCTTTACGTGGCTCTGCTGAGCAGGACAGGGACCTTTCCTTGGCCGCACTGCTATAAAGTCCTGGTGTGACCTCCTTTGAGCAAGTCTGTGTGTATAGATAAAGGTCCTTGACTTCTGGAGAGCTACTTATCTTCTTAGCATGCTGCTAAGCACATACTTGGAAATCATGGGGAAGCAGGATGCGGCACGATGGTGTGTGGTCCTGCCACTGGTGGAAGGATTTTCATCTATAGGTGGGTTTATCCCATCCACAGAGTGTGAAACTGAAGGTTTTCCTTGTGTTTTGCTGCATGTGTCCTCAGACGTAAGAGTACTCCATTAGAAGCTCTTTTGCAACTTGGTCTGCAGGGCACATTTTTGGTTTTATAGGGACTTTGGTTGCAAAAGGCAGAATTGCAAATGAGTTACTCCCTCATCTCATGTCACTGTCAGAGCCTGTCCTGGAAGTCTTTAAATATCATCTCAAAGCGAGCATCCCGTTCCAGACTTAGTCCTGACACCATGGCTCTGACATCTCATCTGGACATCTCCTCATCCTCACGGCAGCGAGAACCACATCTGGCAGCCAGGCACCAGCCTCAGCTCACATGGCATGCATTTAAAACTCTTACACAATATGAGCTATACGTACTCATCATTTAAAATTAATACCCTGCTCGGTTGAGCTTAATGCACAGCAGTGCTGCTATGCTTTATTTTTGGCTAAGAAGCAAGGGGATGAGTGAAAAGAGACTCTTTTTCAGCAATGACTCGTATGCCCTATTAATCTTCATTCTGCTTGCATTTGCGCTGTCACCAACAGATCCCCTTATGTGACTTCGCAGTGACACCTGGTGGGAGAGGCCAGGATGTCATTGTCATTAAGACAATGAAACTGCAGAATTTTTTGCTGCAAGATCTAGTAAAGGCTCCCAATTTCCCC